TTTACATTCCTAAGTTAACTCAATTAACAAAGCAAGTCTCTTCCAGGTGCCAGACCTATGCTCAAGTAAATCCTAATCCAAAGGTGAGCCATTTACAGACTGCAAGGAGAAACACAAGGAGAAAGATGGGAAACGGACTTCACTGAAGTAAAGCCTGGACAGTGTGGTTATAGATACTAGTTGGTTTTTGTGGACACGTATTCAGGCTGGGTGAAAGCTTTCCCCACCAAGCGGAGACCGCAACTGTTAAAAAACTTATCCAGGGGCTGGGGATGTGGCTCGAGCGGTAGCGCGCTCGCCTGGCATGTGTGTGGCCCGGGTTCGATCCTCAGCACCACATACAAAGATGTTGTGTCCGCCGAAAACTAGAAAATAAATATTAAAAAATTCTCTCTCTCTCTAACTCTCTCTTTAAAAAAATAAAATAAAATTAGCTGCAGATGGTGGGACATACCTGTAACCCCAGTTACTTGGGAGGCTGAGGCAGGAGGAGTACAAAATTAAAAAAAAAAAAAAACTTATCCAGGGAGCTGGGGTTGTGGCTCAGTGGTAGAGCGCTTGCCTAGCACATGCAAGGCCCTGGGTTTATATAAAATATATAAAATAAATAAACAAAATATATAATTATAAATAATAATAAATAAAATAAACAAATATAAAAATAAATAAACAAAAACAAAGGTATTGTGTCCAACTACAACTAAAAGATAAATATTAAAAAAAAAAAAAAACTTATCCAGGAGATAGTTCCCCAATTTGGCCTCCCAATAGCCATGGGGTCTGATGGCCCAGCTTTCACAGCTAAGGTAACTCAAAATTTATCTAAAGTCTTTAAAATTAAATGGGACTTATATTATATATAGGCCTTCAAGTTTAAGACAATAAAAAAAGATAAATAAAACTGTAAAAGACACCCTTACTAATTATACTTGGAGACTGGCATAAACTGGACGGGCCTCCTTTTGCCCTTTATTCTAAGACCACCGCCACTGGTTCCCAGACTAAAAGATTAAAAAATAAATAAATAAATAAATAAATAAAAACTAGCAGAAATAGGTAACCCCTCACTTCTTAAGTCCTTACAGGCTCTCCAGCAAGCCTCCCAACAGACTCAGGCTTTAACTAAGGCAGTCCGGCAGCTGGTAACGGGAGAAACTTTTGCCCACTCCTTCCAGCCCGGAAAGCTGATATGGGTAAAATGCCATCACCTGTCTACCTTGAAGTCTTGCTGGCACGGACCCTTTCCAGTCATCTTGACCACCCCAACTGCTATGAAAGTCGCCAGAAAACAACATTGGATTCATCACTCCAGATCAAAAAGGCAGCTTCAACAGAAGGCACATCCCAGGACAACTAACGATGGACAGTACAACCCATGGACAGTATCTTAAAGCTAAGATTTATAAGGTCGTCTTTGGAGGACTCTTGACTTTTACTTTCTGTTCTGTTTCACTTTCAGACATGCACACTGCACACAGCTCTCCTCGGAAACTCTTGAGGCCAGAAAAAGACAGGAAGCCTGCTTCTAAAGATTAAACTGCTGGTCCTTCAAAGCATATGATTATGGCTTGGTAAACTTAGTTCAAACTAAAACTTAGATAAATCAACGATTTGATTTAGTCCCATAAAACCAATGGGGAATGTTGTGGTGTGAACTGATAAATACAATCAATAAGAGTGTAGGTTATAGGTTATAGATTATAGATACAAGATTTTTGTGAGGGGGCTGGGGATGTGGCTCAAGCTGTAGTGCGCTTGCCTGGCATGCGTGCGGACCAGGTTCGATCCTCAGCACCACATACAGACAAAGATGTTGTGTCCGCCGAAAATTAAAAAGTAAATATTAAAATTCTCTCTCTCTCTTTAAAAAAAAAAAGATTTTGTGAGATAAGACAATTATAAAGCAAAAACTGTCATAGACAGGCCTAAGACTCCATTTTGCTGCCTTTTATAAAAATACTATTACAAGAGCTGTTTCTGGGCCGTGGTTGTGGCTCAAGCGATAGTGCGCTCGCCTGGCATGCGTGCGGCCCGGGTTCGATCCTCAGCACCACATACAAACAAAGATGTTGTGTCCGCCGAAAACTAAAAAATAAATATTAAAAACTTCTCTCTCTCTCAAAAAAAAATTCAGAGTTGCTGTTTAAAAAAAAAAAGGTGTTTCTGAGAAACTGAAATGAAAGCTGTTTTCTTATAAAAATTGTCTTTCTGTACTTTTTACCCCACAAATTGTACCCTACTCAGGATGCAGTCGTGGTCATGATGGGCTACATCCTGGGTGTGAGTGCCCTCGTGGGTCTACATGACTGTGAAGTAGATTCTCACCCCACTGACCCCCTGCCCAAATTCAGGATACGACTGTCACCTGCTTGAACCCAGGACCGTGGTCAACTGAACTGCAAAGCTAATGCTTTTGTTTTGTTTTGTTTTGCTTCTGTTTATTGATTGCTTGCTGCCTGGAAAATTTCAGTCCTGCCTAGAGCCCACAGATCCCACTTATTAATGTTTTAATTTCTATGATTGGCTAGCTTACATAATGATAAGCAAGTCACTGAGGTGTGGTTTTTGTGCTTATATTCTCTTTGGATGGACCGGGAAGCTGCTGTCTTCCCACAGAGCTTGAGTCTCTGCGGTGGGTGACAGTCCCTGGCCAGGTAAATTAAGCTCTCTTTTGATTTGAAATTCAGACTTAGAGTGCTTTCTGAGGCATCTCCCCATAACACTAGGACCAGGGGAACCAAACCCAGGCAAGGGAAGCAGAAAGGAGTCACGTCAGGAAAAGGCCGAGGAGAGCTTTTGGTAAAAGGTGAAAAAAATTTTTAAAGATATCCTGCAAAGTGTGCAGAAGTGGTGTCAAGAAAAGCTGGCCTCTGGCAGCTCCATGGAGTTCCTGTGGAAGGCTCTCCGAGGACGTCTGCAGCTATCTGACTGTGAAGCTGTGATTCTAAGGAGGCCAGATCTACCCAGTAGCACAGGCTAGACACCCTTACTTGCTTTACTGGCCCTTGATTCAGTCCCTCAGCCACCTTGTGCCCTGCTGTGTAATAAAAGTTGCTTTAACAGAACCAAGTCCATCTTGGTCCATCTTGAACCTGAGACATTGTATTCATCTTTCCTCCCTCCCTCCCTCCCTCAAGCAATCCTCCTGCCTCAGCCTGCAAGAGTGCTGGGACCCCAGCCTTGGCCTATCTGTTCTTTACTTCCATGGAAACTAATGAACCGTAACCCAAGATCAAAGTGTCTGGGGGTGGGCAGTGCGGGACACCTACTTGATCCAGGATGGAGCAGAGGATGGAGGGGGCAGTGGCAAGATTTCCAAGCTGAGAGGGATAGCCTTTCTTTCCATTTCTGAGAGACCCTGCTTGCCCCCACCCCTGCTCAGCATCTCCTGCAGGTGTGTGGGAAGTGGCCAGGGTCTTCCTTGACCATGTTGGCACTGCCCATTCCTTCCTGGGAAGAAGGCAGCCTAATCACTGGGCCTCCCCGCAGAGGTGATCCAATCCTTAACCTCTTGGATTTTCATCTTATGTTCCTTTAATCTGAAGGGCCTTGCCTCACCTGAGTCCCACTCTTCCCGGACCCCCCAGCTCCAAGGTGCTACCCACCACCAGCCTTTCCTTATTTGTGGCCCTGACCTTGAGTCTCCTGGCTGCCCTGTTCAAGGTCTTCTTTAATACCCTTGCCTGCACTTCTCAAGTGACCCCTTGCCAAAACCCTACTTACCACTCCTTCACATACCCCACTTGGCTTCTTAACTACAAAATTCTCCCACAGGTCACAGGGTCTTTTGTGGGTCCCATTACCACACTGAGGGCACACTCCCAGATAAGTATAATGGCCCCTGAGCTGGTCTCTCTAACTTTGTCTCTTCCAAACCATTTCCAGTGGTTAACACCCAAATTATTTTATTGGTAGAAATGAAATCACCCCATCTATAAACTTCATCATTACAGTGGTGCACACCTGTAATGCCAGCTACTCAGATTGCAAATTCGAGGCCAGTGTGAGCAACTTAGTGAGAACCTGTCGCAGAATGAAAAGGGTTGGGGAAATACATTGTCCAGTGTCCTGGCATGCAGGAAGCCCTGGATCTACCTCCAGTACCACAAAAACAAGGTGACTCATCCTGTTTTCCCATCACCTTACTCTGGCCTGTCAATGTCAGACCCCTTCCCATCTCTTATCTTGAACAAATATGGTCTAGCCAAGTGCTCCCTACCCAGGGCCTTTGCACATGCTGCCCCCGCTGCCTGGAACATTGACATCCTTGTCCTTTTGAAACTGCCTCCCATCATATCTCAGCACATTGCCTGACTTATGGATGGTGCTCAATAATTAAAGTTTTAAATCCTGTGGGCTTCTCTAATTCCTAACCCTCAGTCTCTTAGCTGACGAAATGAATTTGTTCTGTGACATCTTCCTCCCAACCCCCAAAGGGCTGGTCTGTCCCTTGGCTCAGAGCTCTTCTGCCAACTGTACCCAAAATCATCTTAGCTCTTGGGGTACAGCTTAGTGGTACACTGTGTGCCTAGCATGTGCAAGGCCCCGGGTTTGACCTCCAGCACCACAAAAAATTAAAATAAAAATCATCTGTATTTTCCCCCAGATTTGGTTCCTTGAGCCACTAGTGAAAGCAGTTCCTCTCAGTTACCCAGAAGAAGTTCTGTGAGATGGGGGCTACAGGGCAAAAATAACTAGGTTATGATATCGATATCACTGCTGTCCTTGAAAAGCAGCCAACTAGAGAAACAGGAAGGGCGTGTGCTCTGAGACTGGAGGGGTTCCACTGGCATTTTTAACAGAAATCAGCTGACTTCCTAGTAGCAGGCTGCCTAATGGGCAGCACCAGGGCACAGGGCCAGTGTGCTGGATTAAAAGGATTGTGGGCGGCTAGTGGGCCCCCAATGGACAGCCTGCTTAGCCCGCAGGCAAATTTAGTTCACCTGCTTGCATTTTCAGTGTGTAGTATTATCAAGGTTACAGAACAATAATCCAGAAACTGGGATTTAACACTTTATTCTATTATGATGAATTTAGAGATGCCACACATGGCTTGGGACTGCTGTATTGGACAGCACTGGTTTGGGGGTAAACTCTGGAAGAGAATCAAGTTCCAGGGTGAGATTCCTGGACCTTCCAACAAGCTGCCTGTCACAGATGGCAGTTTGGTGGATGTAAATAGAAGGATTGGACCTAGTGGGGCAGCGATGGGGTTAGAAAAAAGAAATAAAAGAGAACCACTTTCAAGAAGGCCGCTTTACTTTGTGTATATGAAATACACTTTTGAGGCCAGGAAAAGAAGCCACAGGAGGGACCAGGTGTGGTGGGCCATGCTGTAATCCTGTTGGCTGGGGAGACTGAGGTGGAGGCTGGCCTCAGCAACTTAGATCCTGATGGGGGTGTAGCTCAGTGGTAAAGCACCTCTGGGTTCAATCCCCAGGTCAACAACAACAAAAAAGCCACAGGCGGGGAGAACAAACACTAAGGAGTCGGAGGAAGTGGGCGTCATGGGGACGTAGAGGAAGGCCTCGGGTGCTATCCATCCACAGGTGCCCGAGTAGTGCTGCTGGAACCTTGGTGATGCTAGTACAGCGTCTCCCGGGCGTGGGTTCGCAGGTGGCGCAGCAGGTGGGAGTTGCGGCTGAAGCCACGACCACACTGCACGCAGGAGTAAGGCCTGGCACCCGTGTGCACCAGCAGGTGTCGCAGCAGGTTGCAGCTGCGGCTGAAGCTCTTACCACACTCCGGGCACTCCTGCGGGGTTTCCACCTCCTGCACCACTCCCGTGTGTGTGACCAGGTGGCGCTGCAGATGGGCATTGCGCCGGAAGCTGCGGCCACAGGTCGGGCAGCTGTAGGGCCGCTCCCCAGTGTGGCTGCGGCGGTGACGGGCCAGATTGGAGCTATTACGGAAGCGGTGGCCGCACGTGTCGCAGGCATGGGGCTTCTCCCCAGTGTGGATGCGCTGGTGGCGCGCCAGGTGGGCATTCTGGCTAAAGCCCTCGCCACACTCGCTGCAGCGGCAGGGCTTCTCGCCCGTGTGGCTGCGCAGATGGCGGGCCAGATCCTGAGTCTGGCTGAAGCTCTTGCCACACTGGGCACAGCGGTGGGGCCGTGGGCCACCGTGTGTCAACAGGTGGCGGGCAAGGCCGGCACGTCGGACAAAGCGCTTCCCGCACTGTGGGCAGGCGTGGGGCTTCTCACCTGTGTGCACTTGCTGGTGGCTGACCAGCTGGGAACTTTGGGTGAAACTGCGACCGCAGACCTGGCATGAGAAAGGCTTCTCACCAGTGTGCACGCGCCGGTGGGTCACCAGGTGCTCACTGCGCCTGAAGGCCTTGCCGCAGTCGCTGCAAACGTAGGGCCTCTTCTCGCGGCTCTGGCTCTGACTACCTGAGTCTTCAGAGCCCTTGTGGTCCTTGCCCTTGGCATGGATCCGCAGGTGACGCTTTAGGCTGGAGCGGCGCTGAAAGGTCTGCACACAGTGGGGGCACTGGAAGACGGTCGCCTCTCGCCCTTCTGTCTTGGCCTCTGGGACACACGTGGGCTTTTGGTCCTGGGTGTGCGCCAGCAGGTGCTGCACGAGGTTGGAACGACGCTGGAAACCCTGGCCACACTCAGCACACAGGAAGGCAGGCTCAGAAGAGTGCGTGAGCAGGTGCTTGGCCAGGTGGGAGCTCTGGCGGAAGCGGTGGTTGCAGAGGTGGCAGGCATGCGGCCGTTCGTCAGTGTGCGTGCGCATGTGCAGCTTGAGGATGGAGCTGCGGCCAAAGCTCTTTCCGCAGCAGAGGCACTGGAAGGAACGCGAAACCGGGTGAGAACGCACCTGGTGTGCCTTCAGGCGGGACAACTGCCGGAAGCTCGCGCCACACTGGGCGCATATGAAGTGCAGTTCTTCCTCTGATCTAGGGTTGTCCTCGCCCACTGCGACCTCCAAAACTTCAGTGCTGCCAGGAGGGGACCCTCCTCCACCAGTACTGCTGGTCTCAGGGCCTGGCCCCAGCGTCTGGGTAAGAGGTTCTCCAGCCACCCCCAAGCTGTCTGCTTGTGACTCTGCTGAGATGGTAGAGGACCAGGCAGCCCCATTGGGCTCTTCTGGTTTAAATTCCTCCTTGTCCGGGGTTCTGCTTCCAAATCCTGGGGAAGAAGCAAACAGGAATATCAGACCTCTTCGGAGGGGCTCCTGGGCATCACCAGAACCTGATGGGCCTAGAAGAGAGAAGAAACCCAGGATCCTGCAAAGCTGGTGGGTAGGTGAGGCTGGGGGACAAATGAGAAATGTGCATTTTCTCTACCACCTGTTTTTAAAATTTTCAGTAAAATATAGATGACATAAAATTTGCCACAATAGCCTTTAAAAGTGTACATTTTGTGTGTATCAAATACATTCATAATGTTGATCAACCATCATTACTATCTCCAAATAGAAACCTCATACCTATTAGCAATCATTCCCTTGGCCACCTATTTTATCTTTCTCATCTAAACTGTTCATTTTTTTCCCTAATGGTGCATTATACTTATACCTGATAGTGGGATTCATTGTTTTTTTTTTTTTTTCTCATTGTTACCTATATTTGTACATGCCCATAACATAATTTGATCAATTTTTTAAAAATATTTTTTTAGTTGTAGTAGACACAATACCTTTATTTTATTTTTTTTACTTATATGTGGTGCTGAGGATCGAACCCAGGGCCTCACACGTGGTAGGCGAGAGCACTCTACTGCTGAGCCACCACCTCAGCCCTTGATCAATTTTTTTGACCACCTATTTTATTTTTTATATTGACTACCCATTTTAAAAGCTCAAAATTAATGGGTTAGTGGTTAGACCAGACAAGAAGCTGTTTAAAAAAGACCAGGCTTGGTGGCACACACCTATAATCCCAGATCTTGGGAGGTTGAAGCAGGGGGGGTCACAAGTTTGAGACCCATAACTTAGGACCTGCCTCCATTTTTTGAAAAAGGAGGGGGAAAAAAAGATATCACCAAAAAAAAAAAAAAAAAGACAAAAATTCAGGCAGGGTCTGGAACTGCAAACAAAAAGACTGTGGTGGTCATGACATTGGAGAAGGGCTGCTTACCCACAAGATGCTTGGGCAAGGCCTTCTTCACTGGGACATCCTCGAAGGTCAGGGATTCCTATAACAAGAGTAGATAATCCTGTGATTGAGGAACAGGATTCTGGGACCTAAATGGAAGGAAGCACCTTCTAGAATTAAGCTAAGGAAGACCTAGGGCAGAGGGGACCAGCTCAGCTCACCAGCACAGCTGCCAGCTCCTGATCTTGGGTATTCTCCTCCTGACACAAGGCACCCTGTGGGACTGACAGCATCAGGACAGGAAGAAAGAGCTGTCAGGAGGCAGCACTGTACCTCAGGTCTCTCAGGGCATGCCCCCCCATTGCCCACACCCCATGAAGCCATTCCAGCTCTCTCCCACCAGGGCCCTCCCATCCCCACCCACACATCCAGTCCACTTTCCAGGGCACCGGCTCCTCACTGTTATCTTGCAGGGGCTGGAGTGTCCTCTGGGGCCCCGGGCTCAGTGACTGGCTTGAATCTAGAGCAGGTTTCCACTCTCCAGGCTCAGCTGGACCAGGAGGCTCTGGCTGGAATGGGGGCAATTCATTTGATGGACACAGAGCTGGAGGTTCTTCTGAGGGCAGTTCCTTTTTGGGGCTGTGGCTGGGGACCTGAGAAGGGCCCCCCTGTTCCTCCAAGTTGATGGCTGCACGGGATCCATTCTTGCCAGTATTGAAACTAAAATCCTGTTGGAAATATGTCCATGTTAGGAGGCAAACAGGAGCAGTCTACTGCTTCTACAGGGATGGGATGGAGGAAGAGATGGGATGGGGAGTCTCACAGATAGGAGACTCACAGATAGGAGGGTAAGAGTTGGTGGAAAGTGAAGATTCCTGTTTCTTCCAGGGGCCATCAGTCCCTGTCCACACCCCTGCTGCACAACCTGCTGCTTCCCACCCCATCTCACCAGTGGCCCCACGTGGCTGACATCCCTGGGCACGCCCTCCAGCAGTAGCACCACCTCCTCTCCATCCCTGAGCTGCTGACCCTGCAGGCGGCCCAGCAGGTGTGGGGGCAGCACACTCAGGAACTGCTCCAACACCAACAGCTCAAGGATCTGTTTCTTGGTGTGAAGAGATGGCTGCAGCCAATGGTGGCAGAGTTCCCGTAGCCGGCTCAGGGACCCACGTGGCCCCATGTCTTCCTGATACTGGAAGCATCTGAAGAGCTGGTGGGCCACCTCAGGCCGAGGCCTGGCCACTGGCCTCCTTGTAGCCTCCTGGCCAGTGGCCTCTTCCTCCTCCAGCTTGACAGCTCCGAGCTGCTCTTGCTCCTGTGGAGTCGGGACTGGCTCCGCAAGCATCCTTCACTGTGGGGGATGCCTCTTGCAGCTGGGCCCACTCCAGGTCCCTTTCCTCAGTTCCTCCCACACCTGTGGAGCTGAAGACCCTGGGTTAGGATCTGCTGCAGGGAAGCTGACTCCACCTGGTCATTAGTGTTAAGAGATGCTGGGGTGTGGCCTCCTCAGAGAAATCCTTTTTCCTAATGGTCTGGGTCTCTGCTTAAGCAATGCAGAAAGGACAGAAAAATTGGACAGGTCATCCTACAGCATCTAAGACCTCCTATCACTCTGCCCCAGCGATTAAAGTGAACATCTCCCAGAGAGGAACAACCTGACCTTCCCTCCTCCTGATGCAACCCCTGAGTACACAAAGCACTATGGAGGACAGACCCTGGCTACAAATGTTTCATTCAATCCAGTCTGGTGTGGAGAGCCAACTTCCAGTTCACAGAGCATTGCCAAGAATAAAGAACAAGTCAACCATCACTCGAAGGAATAATTCAACAAATCAGAATATGAAAAATAACTGCTATGGGGGGGTTGTTCTACAGGAGACTAAATGGTGGTTAAAATCAAGTGGGCAGACCTTGACTGGATCCTGATTAATTCACTTTTCAAAGGCTCTCAAGGACAGTTTGGGATCAGTTGAGGGAATCTGAATATGGATGGGATACTAGATTAATGACTCCATTATAGCCTTTTGAATGTAGGCAATGTCTACCAGTAAGAGGATGCTATTGAGTTTTATAGGGTTTGGACTTGAAGAGGACTAAGGGATCACCCCTGTTCATGGTTGGTAAGATATGTAGAAGAGGTTCACTGACCTGCTCTTTCAACTTCTCTGAATGTTTGAGAACTTTCAAAGTAAAAAGCTGAAGGGAAAGTTCATGCCTGCACTATCTCCTAGACCAGGCACGCGGGCCCTCACTTTATGTCTCTGGAGATATCTCATAGGGGTCAAGGACAATGGCACTCAGCTGACCAGTGCTGGGCTGACCAGGGTGGAGCTCTCACCTTGTTTTCCAGTCTCTCTCCTCCCACAGTTCCAGTCCCAGAGGTTGAGGCCAACATGAGCTGGAGGAGGGTGGAGCAGAGGGGGAGTACCCAGGGCAGCGCAAAGCATAACTGGAGTCCAGCAGGGGCCAGTTGTAAGTGCATGTCACAGCAAAGAGACTGGGGACAGATCAGGGCAGCCAGCGGATGTGGGCTCCAGATGGGAGTGTAATTTGGAGAGTTTTGTGACAGGTGAGTCCTCAAGGCAGAAAGATAATGTTACCTGGTCTGAGAGCCCCTGGTGGATGTACTTTGGGAGTCAGGGCATGGGTATGTGAGGCAATGATTTTACTTTCTTTTCTCCCCTCCCCAATTCTGGATTTTCCTTGATTCATTCCATCACCCCTTTTGGGGTTCCCACTCTAACCCAGAGGCTGGCTAGCCATGGAAAGTATTTCTAGTTGGCCACCAGGGGGCACTGGTTCTGCAGAACCAACCACCTCTCTTGTCTTCCTAGCCCAACCCACGGGGTGGCTACCCCTTTTTTTGGGTAGCCCAAAACTATCATGGGGAACTGCCCCAAATTCAGCCCCAAGCACTAGGGACTCAATTTGGTCTTGTTCAATTTGTTCTTCAGTATTCCAGGAGGCTTAAACTTTTCTGAACCCATTGTACTCTTCTATCCTCCCACTCCTCAGGGGGCATCCCAAGCAGGGAAAAGGTAAGAGCACCTTGAGCATTACTTCCCCAAAAGCACAGAGCAGTGTCCCACATGGGGTAGTGGCACATGGCAGGCACACTTCAGTGCTAGCTGTTATGTTCTCTTGTTACTGGTTATAGCACCAATGATCATGGCCATCAGTGTCGGACAGTAGCATCTTTGCCCTTTTTACAGCAAAAGACACTAAAACATTTGCCCTAGTGGGTAACCCAGTTTTGGTAATGTTAGCCTAATTTTGAGTTTGGACAGTTTGTTGAGTCTCCTTATAGGAGACAGGGTTTTCTAAATCTCCTTCTTAAGTGGGGTGACTAGAGTGGGGGGTGGGATGGTAAAGAATACAGGAAACCTGTGCTTCAAGCCTGGCGTTAGGGAAACTGATTCAGGCCTTGTTTCTTACTTCTGCTCCTGATCTGCAGCCCCCCTTTTCTCCCTCCCACAACCTGGGCTCTTTCCTAGACTTCTGTGTTTTAATCTCTGGAGGCTTTTCCTGTTGCAGCCACTCTTTATCCCCCATTGGTGCCTCCCTTCTGGGATCCCACAACACAGTCCCTGTGGGTCACTGTGCTGCAAACCATCATGGTTGAGTGTATTTTGTCCCCTGGCTTACAAATAGGCACTGTATCTAGTTCAGTCTGTATTCATCCAGCATTAAAAATGCTGATGACTTCAAATGACTGTTAGTAGTTGTAACAAAATGGAAATCTTACCTTGATGTCCTAAGAATTGGTCAGGGGCAGTGGTGCACACCTGTAATCCCAACAACTCCGGAGGCTGAGGCACAAAGAACACAACTTCAAGGCCAGTCCCAGCAACTTAGTGTGGCTCTCAGCAAATTAGTAAGGCCCTGTTTCAAAATAAAAAAAAAAATAAAAAGAAATGGGAATGTAGCTCAGTGGTTAAGTGCTCCTGGGTTCAATCCCCAGTACCCTCCCACCCCCCCAAAAATTAATAATTGAGGAATACATGTAACAATTTTTCTGGGGCAGAAAAGGTCTGATAAATGTTCAAGAAAAAAAAAATTTTTTTTTGTAGTTGAACAGAATACCTTTATTTTATTTATTTATTTTTATGTGGTGCTGAGGATTGAACCCAGTGTGCCTAAGCACGTGCTAGGCGAGTGCTCTACCACTGAGCCACAATCCCAGCCCACGTTTTGTTTTAGAAGCAGCATTTGCAAACTAACTAGAGAACTAGTGACTCACTAGTGGCCCTACAGTAGCAGCTGGCAGGTGATGAGCACTTATCTGCCTGGACGCCATACCCAGAACTCACTTCATCCCTCTGCATTCATGTGCTAAATCATTTCTTGATCTGACAAGAGTGACTTGCTCACAGTCACACCAGGCACAGCTAAGAAAGTGAGAATGTGGCTCTAGGCCCCACAAATACCTGGAAAAGAGAGGTTAGTTTTGTCTGGGACCCAGTGTGATTTTCCTTGAATTGGCCAAGATATCACAACATGAACCAGAAATAAGAGGATTTCAAAGCCCTCAGGCCTAGCCACACAGAGTGGCCAGAATCTCCAGGTGAACCCCCACCAAAAGGTTTCAAGGAAGTGGAATTCAGGCAAGTTGGCCTTGCAAAGTCTGTCCCTTCCCCCAGGTCTCTCTAGGACAAAAGCTCTATTAAAATGCACATCTGCAGGGGGTTGGCTAGGTGGGGGTGGGGACACAGAAGCAGAGCCACGAGGGTGGGGCAAACCCAAGTTGAGGTGCTGCCCAGAGACCTCCAGACCTCCTGAAAGCCCAGAGTCTGGGAGGGGCAGAAGATGGGATCCTCTGCTGGGATCATCCCTCTCCCCGCACACGGTGGCAGGTGTCTCATTTGCTGGTCTTTGTTGGTCGGGCTTTCCTCCCATTGGGCTTCCCTCTGGGTGCTGGGCTGAGTGAATGAGGCTGATCAGTCCACCAGGGCACACATGGAGGCTGCCTTCTTCAGGTCACAGGACGACCCGGACTCTCCCTCAAGCCCCCCATTGCCACAAGTCCATCAAGCTGGCTGGCCGGGGCTGCACAGACCACCCACATTCTCCCAAGATTTCCAGTCCCTCGCCCACCACCAAGACATGGAGCCCCCCACCCCCCATTGTCTCTCCAAGCTGCTGTGAACCTCACCCTAGGACTCCCAACTCACCACTCAGGATCCTCAGTACAGAGGAGAGATGCTTGGGGTTTTCTCAGTGTTCCAGGGCCAAAGCCACCTTCTGCTAGCCTGGGGAAAGACTCCAGCAAAATGGGACAGGAAGTGAGTTCCCTCCCCAATCCTACTCAGGTGCTGAAGGGGCATCCTCGAGTTAACCCTTAACCTCCCAGTCTGGGAACAAGGTGGGGGGAGGGTGGGGCCAGAGAAACAAAAGTGATGAATCCAGATTCCAAGCCTGCCCTACCCGAGAGACTAACTACTCTCTGAACCGGAACTACCCCTCCAGCCCACTCTAAATCAGGACAGGCCCATACTCCTGGGGGTCTGCCAGTATGCACCTTTCTTTTGGGACAAGAGCAGCAGCTTAAAGTGCCTGCTGTGTGCCGTATTTCTTGCTAGTATTTTCATGCATGTGATAAAACTGCTATGGGTGTGCTGTGTTCCAAGCACCGAGGACTTAGAACTAAACTTGAGGAAGGAGTCCCTACCCTCGGATATTGCAGTCCAGGGCACAGGGTGGCAGTGATGGTGCCAAAATGGAACAGGAGATGTGTTGGAAAAGAGAGAGAGCTCTCGGTCCACTTATACCCCTAAAATCCTGCCTAGAAACCAGAGGTCCCCGGAGGGAAGTGACCTCCTCAACCGCGTTGGAGCCAGCTCCAAAGTCAAGCCCTTTCCGTTGCACTGAAATGTTTTTTGGGGTCCTGTCCTTGGCCGCATCCCGGAGGGTGCTCCTAGCAGGGAATCGGTGTTGCCTCCCGGGCCCCTGGGCATGCCCCACCGCACCGCCTGCCATGGGGAGCGGGAACACCCTCGGTGACCGGGGCTGCTGTTGGTAGGATCAGACCCCCACGGTCAGTCGGGACCAGAAATTGCCTCCCTCGACCTCGTCTATCTGGTCTTAAGTTTTCCTGCACGCACCAGCAACGAGCTTATCTTTAACTCTAGCGTCGGCCTCACTGGACCATGCGCTATTGTGGACACTATCTCCTTGCGGCTCTGCGTCCCTCGCGCGCAATCCAGAGCCTACGCACTGGCATTCGCCGGTAATCCTGGAGACTCCGGGGGCTGTGGCAGGAGGATCGGAAGTTTGAGGCCAGCTTCAGAAATTTCTCGAGGCCCTCAGTTATTAACTGGTAATGTAGATCACAGGCAAAGCGTCCCTACTTTCAGTACCCGCCCTCAAAAAGAAAGAAGGAAAGAAAGGTTGAGCAGCCCCGTGACGCCGCCCAGCCCCCAGCTCTCCCACAAACAGCCCCAGGTGTCCAGTGCGCCCCCTGCGGAGCGCCCAGGCAGCAGGCCCCTCCTTCCGCAGCCTCGGTTCGCACTCCGCCCCTGAGGCCCGCCCTGGGTGGGGCCAGGAAACCCCGCCTTGTTGGGGCGTGTCTGTAGGCTGGGGCGGGGCCGGGAGCGGGAGCCGGAGCGGTTTCTCCGCAGGTCTGCAGAGCTATGGCGCAGGACCTCTCTGTCCCTCTGTACGCAGAAGGGGAGACGCCGTGCGTCAGTGAGACGGGAGGGAGCTGGAGTTTTTGCGGGGCGGGTGGAATGGGCCTCCCCTCGCTCGTGCTGCTCCCCAATCCGCCCCAGGCTGAACTCGCACAGGCGCTCCCCTGGCTTGACCCGCCCCTCCCCCAAGGCTTTTTGGCATCCTCCCCCATGTGGCCTTGGCCTTTGGGACAGGGCCTTATACCTGGACCCTTGGGGGCTTAGTGAGTTGGCCCAACCGCGGACGCTGCACCAGGACATGATGCCGGCCAACTGAGGCAATCAGGAACCCCCTCTCCCATGAAAAAAACAGGGCCCCTTATGAGTAAGGGAGTAAAATTTTTCAGGGAGACATGAAACAGTTAAAATAGTTCCCAGTCTTATGAGGTTTTACAGACATACCAGAAAATTAGGAGTTCAAAAGTAGACCAGTCTTCAAGGCTACAAAATTAACACACCAGGAGAGGGAGATTGGAAAGTTAGAAATACCCAGAAGCCAGATCCAAGAAAAACCAGATCATTAAACTTAAACCTACTGAGGCACGGTGGTGATTTCTCCTGCTCCAAAACCTAACTAGGAACTTTCCCAGACATTAAGGAGCAAATTCCAGATGTTGAGGGGGAAAACGCATGTGTAGAATATTCCCTAAAGAATCCTGGTCTTTGAAAAGACATCCCCTATCCCAACAAAGTTACCTTTAATTTATTAACATAATAAAATTCCCACCTGGGCTGGGGTTGTAGCTCAGTGCTAGAGTGCTTGCCTTGCATGTGTGAGGCACTGGATTCGATCCTCAGCACCACATAAAAATAATTAAATAAAAATAAATATCCCACCCTAAGATGGAGACTAAGATGGTAATGAGACCTGGTCTCCTGAAGAGGAGTGCAGGGGCAGCTGAAGCTCCACTTCTACATAGGGTGACTTCAAGAGACCAGGATCCTGCCCACTGGATGCCATAAAATCTGTGCACCTTTGTCCTCTTTTTGTGTCAGCCTGTGATTTCTGTCTCCAACTGACTGCCTCCCCTTGAAGAGACTTGTTCCTCTGCCAATGTCGTCTTCTTCTTCTTCTTCTTCTTCTTCTTCTTCCTCCTCCTCCTCCTCCTCCTCCTCCTTTCTTCTTCTTCTTCTTCGTGTGGTGTGGGGGTTACTAGGGATTGAAACCAGGGGCACTCCACCACTCAGCCACTTCCCCAGCCTTATTTTGTATTGTATTTAGAGACAGAGTCTCACTTTTGCTGAGGCTGGTTTTGACTTCACATCCTCCTGCCTCAGCTTCCCGTGCTGCTGGGATTGCACATGTTTGCCACAGTGCCTGGCTATCTGATTCTTCTGATAGCATGAGAACTCCACCAAGTCAGTGATACAAATACTGTAAGATGGTCTCTGGGTAAGGGACTGATCTGGCATCTGGAGTTTACAGCCTGGAAGAGCTGACTGGGAATGCAACCAGAGGGATTAATGTTAGTTGTAAACATGGATTTCCAAGGTCTCTAAATCTGGAATGTCACCTTTCCAGGGAATCTTTCAGAAAAGCCAAAACCAGTTTGGCTCAAAAATAGCCTTAGGCAGAAAGCAAAAGCTCTGCAAGCTTTTGACCTTCTTCCTTCCTAAACCTCCTTGCCCCCAAGGGCTCAGCTGACAGGCTGTTTCTGGCTCTGTGTGCAGGTGCCACTCATTCTTTCAGAAAATATTTGCCTCCTATTACTCGTCCTTTTGAAAGACCAGGGGTGCTATACTAGTGTGTGCTGCCCCTTGAGGTTCACACATCTGGACAAGACCACTACCCAAGTATTCTTTTTTTTTTTTTTTAAGAGAGAGTGAGAGAGAGAGAGAGAGAGAGAGAGAGAGAGAGAGAGAGAGAGAGAGAGAGAATTTTTTAAATATTTATTTTTTTTTAGTTTTTGGCAGACACAACATCTTTGTTTGTATGTGGTGCTGAGAATCGAACCCAGTGCCTCACATGAACCAGGCAAGTGCGCTACCGTTGAGCCCCAGCCTTTTTTTCCCCCCCAGTACTGGGGATTGAACCCAGGGCCTCTGCATGTGCTCTACCACTGAGCCACATCCCCATCCTTTGTTCTTCTTCTTCTTCTCCTTCTTCTTCTCCCTTTACCTCTCCCTCTCTCTCTCCTTCTTTGATACTGGGGATAGAATCAAGGGGTGCTCTTCCACTGAGCTACATCCCAAGCCCTTTTTATTTTTTATTTTGAGACAGGATCTCCCTAAATTGCCCAGGCTGGCTGGAACCTGCAGTCTCTTCCTCAGCCTCCTCAGTAGTGGGCATTACAGATGTATGCCAATGCACCTACCCGAAGGAGAAACTTTTAATGTAAATCTACATATTTGAGATATATTTCAATGTCTGTCTCCTAAGATTATCTTGAAAATACAAATTGTTCTAGTTATTACCATAGATATTTGGGGAAGAGGGACCAACACTTGTAATTCCAGCTACTCAGGAGGCTAAGGCAGGAGGATCAAAAGTTCAAGACCAGGATCTGGGATTGTGACTCAGTGGTAGAGCACTTGCCTCACATGTGTAAAGCCTTGGGTTCATCCTCAGCACCATATAAAAATAAATTTAAAAATAAATGAATAAATAAATAAATAAATGAAATTATTGTATACAACTACAAAAAATATTTTAAAAAACTAAAGCTATTATGTCCATCTACAACAACAACAACAACAACAACAAAGGTTCAAGACCAATTAGCAAAACTCTAAGCAACTTAGCAAGACCCTGTCTCAAAAGGGAATATAGCTTAGTGGTAAGATGCCCCTGGGTTCAATTCTGATTGACATTGGGGGGGAAGCAAGGGGTGGGGGGAAAGATGAGACATTCTAAGAAAACTATAATTTAGGGACTTTCAAGCACTATGTACTGATCAGATGATGAAGACCTCATCAGCCTGAGGATCCTAAGACTGACCAGACCACCACAAACTTTTTTTTTTTTTTTTTTTTTTTTTTTATATTTATTTATTTATTTTAATTATCGGCGGGCACAACATCTTTGTTTGTATGTGGTTCTGAGGATCGAACCCGGGCCGCACGCATGCCAGGCGAGCGCGCTACCGCTTGAGCCACATCCCCAGCCCCACCACAAACTTTCTTGAGATCACTGAAGGATATGGAAGAACAAGCCCCAGGGAGAAAAGGAGAATAGGCCCCAGGGAGAGAAGGAAAACAATGTGCTCTGGACTTTCACCATTTCCCAGCAACAACAGGCTTTGAACTTTCACAGCTGCCCCCCCACCCCCCCCACTGCCCCACTGATACATTCTGCTATGATTCAAGTCTAACTGAACCCTATAAAGCTCAGACCCCCTGTTGTAACCAGTTGTCATTTTCCTCCTGAAAATGTGCCCCTCTGCTGCTTAACAAAGTTTTGCTGATCTGTGGAGATCTGTCCCTTTTTTGTTTACTTTTGCTTTCAATTGCCAGAGTTATGTGGTGCCTACATACCTTTCCATGTCCACCCTTCACAAGTTTCCTTTAAAAGAAGAGCCTAGAACCCCCTAAATGCTCTCTCACTCTGGAGATGACCCACATTTTCCCTTGAATATGCATTCTTTGCTTTATCCCTTAAGGGCCCACCTTCTCATAATAGCCCTTATGGGGAGGGGGTTGTGGCTCAGTGGTAGCACCACATATAATATATATTTTTTTAAAGAGCATTAATGAGAAACTGACCAAATTCGAATATCTGTAGATTAAGTAATATTAATATTAGTGTTAATTACAATGCTCAGACTGTGGTTACTAAGAAAACCTTTCTTAAAAAAATAAATAAATACAAGTTCTCCTTCTCCAGTCATGTATCTTCTTTCCTAAATAAACCTCTGTCTATGCCTCTGAATTGTCTGTGCTGAAATTTTTTTCCATCGCATAAGCCAGGGACACCACTGATCCTAAGTCGAGTTGCCCCTTCTTTCCAGGAACTCCTGGGACCCTTCTTTGGGGACACCTCTTCTCCTGGGACAAAGAGAGAACCCCTCCAGCTCTGGGAAGAATTACTGTTAAACCCCTATGACTTGCATTAGTCATAATACAGGAGGGAAGAGAGAATCTGGGCACTACGGCAGGTTTGGGCTGAGACAGGCTGAACCCCAGCTCCAGACTGTGTTGGCCAACCTGCATGTGACTGGTCATTTTTCATTTGGAAGCTACAGTGCCTTCCATGGTGAGGACTGCAGATTATGTTTGTGAAAGCATCAAGCCCAAAACCATAATAAAAATGTTTGCATCTGCACCTGAAGCAAGGGGAAGCCAAACAGAGTGAGGTACCCAGGGGTGGAAGAGGGGAGAGGGCACCTTTGGAACAGCATTCTCCAAGAGAAATATAATGTGACCCACACTTATAATTTTAAATTTTCTGGTAGCCACCATGAAAGCTGTAAAAGGAAACAGGTGAAATTAATTTTAATAATAAAGTTTATTTAACTCATTAGATTCAAAATGTCATCATTTCAAAATATGATCCATACAAAAAAATTATTACTGACATGTTTCACATTCTTTTTTTTCATGCAAAGTCTTTGAAATCCAGGTTGCATCTTACACTTGGGGCACATATTAGTTTGGACAGAGCACTTCCAAGGGAGCACTCAGTAGCCAAGAATCCTTGTTTTTTTTTTTTTTTAACATCACAACTTTGGCACTTCCTGCAGGAAGAGCCCCATCCTGGCTGCTGGAGGGTGAGGAAGAATAACAAGAAGAATCAAGGAGAGTTGAGGTCACTTAGGAAGGCCAGGGGTCTCTCCTGAAAAGGACTTCACTGCTTCCCAATTAGGAGCCTAGAGTTGCTGCAGGGATGAAGGAGAGACAGGAAGTGAGGAAGGAAGGGAGACCCAGAAACTGGATTTGCAGCTAGCTTGAGGAGGCTCTCTCCAAAGTTAGGCCTCTCCCCTTAAGTACCTGCCTGCCCAGGAAGACTTGGAGGTCTGTGAGGGCCAGCAATTAGAACCATGTTGTGGCTGTAAGTGGGCTGAGGAAAAACAAAACGGAAGGAAGGAAGGAAAGAAGGAAGGAAGGAAGGAAGGAAGGGGGAGGGAGGGGAGAGAAAGAAAGAAGGAAGAAAAGAAAAAAGAGAGGAAAGAGAGGGACCTTTAAACCCAGGCCCAAGCACACTATTTGACCATTTGTCCCATGGGTGTTCCCAGAGTGGTTTGCTCTGAACCATATTGGCCTTACCTCAAAACTCCCTGTAAGGAGTTAAGGCTCTTCTCATAAGGCAAACATCTGGGTTAAATACCTTAGTTTTCTTATTGCAAAGGGGCTTATGATTCTTATTTATCACGCAGCATAAAATATTTGCATGCATTTCTTATCAAATGATCTTGAACTTTCTGATTTCCCATTCCTTCCAAAAGTTGTGTTGCAAGAAATTATATTCATGGCAGCTCACATAGAACTGAGATTTGATTTGTATGATTCCAGTGAGACCCGCAGCGAGCTCCATGCTTGGGCCACTGCTCTTCTGCAGATGTTGAATCTAAAAGACCCAGGTGCTGGGCTGGGGTTGTGGCTCAGTGGTAGTGCGCTCGCCTAGCATGCGTGAGGCACTGAGTTCGATTCTCAGCACCACATACAAATAAATGAAATGGAGGTCCATCAACAAATAAAAAATATTAAAAAAAATAATAAATAAAAATAAAAGACCCAGGTGCTGACAGCCTTGTGAGGCAGTTTTAGGTGAAATCTATAGAGCCAACTGCGTAAAGGATGTTTATTTGGGTAATTCTGCTAATGCTTAGGAATCTGCTTAATAAAAAAATGAAGTAGGTTTAGTGACTGTGGCCACATGTCATCACACATTTGTTCAAACCTATAGAATGTACAATGCTAAGGGGAAACCCTAAAGTATAGATTTTTCTATTGTGTCTGCAAACTTATCTGGAAACAACACAGAAGTGTTTAGCAATTTATGTTCAAGAGTCAGTGCCCTCTCTATGAGGTGAAGAGCTGTTATTGTGGAATCCTGGGAGCCCTCCTCCTTCTGGGCCAGGTCCTCCTGCAAAAGACCATCAAGGCTGCAGTGTCCTGATATTCCTAGCCTGGGCAAGGGACTCCAGGAAGCACTGGGCTGGGTCCTTGAAGTTCACCCAGCTCTGGGCAATTTCCCTTGGGCTCTGGGTCCCAAGGAGATGTAAGCATAATACCAGGGTCAGGTGCTTGCCCAGGTGGCTGTAGCAGGACCCCTTTTCAGGCTGTAAAGCCAGGTCAGAGCTTGACATGCACCTCCCCAGTCTGTGGCCCCAAATCCTCAATTTAGTGTCTGCGCCAGCTTCAAACCCTCACTCCAAGGACCAAGCTGTGCTTGTAACCCACTTGGGGGAGCAGAGGTAGCCAGGCCCCAACAGAGGGTCCTTCACCAGAGGGCAAGCAAGAGAAGTAAGGAGCAGATGAGCGAGGATCCCATCAGGCCCCTGTGCATGGCTTTCTTGGGACAGCAGAAGCCCCTCCTTATAGGCCTGCTGCTTAGGCCCTGGAGGGCAGGCAGGCAGCCACTGAGAACATAATAAGGTGTTATGAGGACAGGGTCTCACTGCATTTGCCCATGTTGATCTCCAAGGTGTGTAGGGCTTAAGATGCAGAGCCATGACTTCTTGGGGATCCTCTTGACTGTGGCAGTTTCTTAGACATTTCTTATTTCTGATGACCTGGACTTTTTTGGTGGGGTACTGAGGATTGAACCCACGGGTGCTTTAGCATTGAGTTGCATTCCCGCTTTTTTTTTTTTTTTTTTTGAGAGGAGGTCTTGCCAAGTTTCTGAGGATGACCTTGATCTTTCAATCCTCCTGCCTCAGACTTCTAAGTTACAGGTGCACACAGCGCACCTAGCTGACTTGGATGATTTTGAGGAGAACTGTTAACGTATTGTAGGGTGCTCCTCAGCCAGACTTTAATGTTTTCTCATGATTAGACAGGGGTTGTTGTTTAGGGGGGAAGACCACAGAGGTGAAGTGCCATTTTCATCACTTCCTATAAAGGACATGAACTGTCAACCTGTGATATCAATGTTGGTGGTGACTCTGATCACCTGGCAGAGGTCTTGTTTGTCATATTTCTCTACTGTGAAGTTACTCTCATCTGTACTTCATACCTGTTCTTTGGAAGGAAGCCACTACACGCAGCTCACACCTAAGGAGCAAGGAGCTTTGTTCCACTTCTTGAGGAAGGATCTGCATCACTTCAGTTTTCTTCCTTCCTTTTGTACTTCCACTCTACCAACTGAGCTATATCCCCAGCTCCCCCTGCCCTTTTAAAAAAATATTTTTTAGTTTTTTTTTTTAATTTTTTTTTAGAAGTTGATGGATAATTATTTTATTCATTTATTTATATGTGGTGCTGGGACTTGAACCCAGTGCCTCACACATGCTAGGCAAGCGCTCTACCACTGAGCCACAACCCCAGCCCCACTTTTTTTTTTTTTTTTGAGACAGGGTCTCACTGTATTGCCCACGTTGGTCTCCAACTTCTGGGCTCAAGCAATCAGTGCTCCTTTCTCAGTCTCCCAAGAAGGGCAGGAGAAACTATGGGTGGGCACCACTATACTTGGCTCCCTGTGTCTCTTTGAAATCATGTCCTGTAGTTTTGTTTGTTTTTTAGCATTTTCTTACTTTCTGGTCTACTAGATACTTCAGGCTCGCTTTGTGCATTTCGTGCTTACCCTAGAATCAGCCATTTTTCTAAGGAACCCTAGTCTTTTCATTAGCTGATGTTTTCTTATATTATAAACATCCACAAAAATACAATTTTTTAAAAGATGAGAGAGCTGGGTGTGGTGGCACACACCTGCAGTCCCAGTGGTTTGGGAGGGAGGCAGGAGGATCTTAAATTCAAAGCTAGTCTCAGCAACTTAGTGAGGCCCTAAGCAACTTAGGGAGAACTGTCTCCAAATAAAATATTTTAAAAAGGGCTGGGAGGGCTGGGGATGTGGCTCAAGCGGTAGCGCGCTCGCCTGGCATGCTCGAGGCGCTGGGTTCGATCCTCAGCACCACATAAAAATAAAATAAAGATGCTGTGTCCACCGAAAACTAAAATATTAAAAAAAAAAAGGGCTGGGAATGTAGCTTAGTGATTTAGCACCTGGGGTTCAATCCCTAGTACTAAAATAAGAAGAAGAAGAAAAAAAAAAAGAGAGAGAAGAGAGAGATAAAATAAAAATAAAAACTAATGGAGCAGGGCTTTGTGGTACACACCTGTTAATTCCAGCAATTCAAGAGCCTGAGGCAGGAGGAACAAAAGGCCAGCTTCTGTAACTTAGTGAAGGCTTCAGCAACCTAGTGAGACCCTGTCTCAAAACAAAAATAAAAAGGGCTGGAGATGTGGCTCAGTGGTAAAGCACTAAAGCACCTGTGGGTTCAACCTCCAGTACAAAGAAAGCAAAAAAACAAACAACAACAACAACAAAAAAAACTCTACATTTTTTTTCACAGCCATTTAATTAAAAAAAACAGAAAAGAAATTTGTATTAAAGAAAGACACCAGGGCATGCAGAGGAGGGCTTCTTAAGGCTGGGGTGGGGAGAGGGCACACAGAGTTGAAAGGCTGAGGACATCAGCTGAAAAGGACATCAGGGTAGGTGCGTGTGCACCCCTGCCATTTACTCCCAGGAGGCACCTTCTATGAAGTTCCTCTAGTGCTGAGCCCGTCAGAATGTCCTCCATCCCCTCCTATTTCAGTATCTTGGCTGATGTGTGAGGAAGTACAGCCTGAAACTTTACAGCAGCAAAGTGTATTTTGGGATGATGACATGTCCTGGTTTCCTAGAAATGCACCCACCTCTAATGGAAAGTAACTTAATTTATCCTAACTTCCACCCCAAAGGACCAGCATCCAAACCGGAGTGAGACTTTTTTTTTTTTTTTGCAGTGCTCGGAATCAAATCTAGAACTTTGTGTATACTAGAAAAGCCCTCTAACACTGAGATACACCTCTATACCTTTTTTAAATTTTTATTTTGAGATAGGGTCTCGAAAAGTTGCCCAGGCTGGCCTTGAACTTGTGATCTTCCTGCCCCAGTCTCCCAAGTAACTGGGGATCACAGGTGTGCTATGATCTTTCTATGTTCTTTTATACTGAAAGATCTTTAACATGTATGTCACACAGACAAACACACACACTTAACATGCAGGGACCCAGGTCATACCTCCTATGCATTGTGCTGGGACTGAAACCCAGATCTCATGCATGCTTGGCAAACATGTAACAGTCACTTTACCTTTTGATATAGCCCTCCTTGCTTTGGGGCTGCTGCTGCTTCTTCTTCTTGTGCTGGGAATTGAACTCAGGGGCATTCCACCATTAAGCCATATCCTCAGGCCTACTTTGTATTTTTTTATTTATCGACAGGGTCTCACTGAGCTGAGAAGTGCCTCACTGTTACAGAGTGCTGGCTTTGAACTCGCGATTCTCCTGCCTCTACCTCGAGAGCCACTGGGATTACAGGCGTTCGCCACCTCGCCAGGCTTGAGGCTTATTTGTTTATTTTTAAAAAATTTTTGTTAGGGGTTGAGGTTGTGGCTCAGTGGTAGAGCATTTGCCTAGCATGTGTGAGGCACTGGGTTTGATTCTCGGCACCACATAAAAATAAACAAAATAAAGGCACTGTGTTCAACTATAACTGAAAAAAAATTAAAAAAAATTTGTTAGATGTTGATGAATCTTTATTCATTTATTTATTGTGCTGAGATTCGATCCAGTGCCTTGCACATGCTAGGCAAGCGCTCTATCACTGAGCCCCAGCCCCAGCTCCTTGAGACTTATTTTTAAAAGTTCATGTTTTTCCCTTCCTCTTCTCCCTCTCTCCCACCTAACCTGGGGGCGGGGAAACAAGATCACCTGGAGTTATCCAGGCTCCACAGGAAGGAGATGTCTGCCTGAGGATCTAGGAAGTGACTATCTCCCAAATTAACAAATGAATCCTAACATACCCTCAGGGCGCCCTGGGAACCCCCTTCAGGGCACACCTGGACTGTAGCCTTTGAATAGCTTTTTAAAAGCCCTGCTTTCCCTAATGGGCAGAATCACAGGGACAGGAGTCCCCTGTTTCTCCTTTGCCAGCAAAACAATTTAAAAAAAAGTCCTTCAACTTAGAACCGTGTCCTTATTATTAAGTTATTAAGTTGGCATGAACTGGCATTGGGGACAAGGATCGAGCTTTCGGTTACAAGGGCTCCACCACTGAGCTATAACCTCAGCACCCTTACTTCCATTTTTTAAAACAAAACGGCATCCAAAACAGGTGAGCGAGGGAGATGCTGGATCCGGAGGCGGGACTGAGCGCCGAGGTCGTAAGGCTTTATGCATCTTGATCGTGTCCTCACGGCTCGGCTCTCTTTAATAAGACCCCTGAGCCCCAGGCCCCGCGGCGGCCGCGGGGCTTTCCAGCGGGCCGTCTTAGTTTCCCGGCGGGTGGAAATCCAGTCCAGGACCGGCGTGTCCTCGCCCAGCGTCCTCACCGCCCGGGCAGGCCAGGTAGATCGCCGGGAGATATCTGGGCAAACCGGAAATTGCCGTGGGGCAGCGGGACAGGAAACGTGGGGACACCAGCCAGGCCAGGCGCGCACAGGGTGACCCTTCCCCCCGCGAGTAGGACTGTTCTCGGGAGCGCGCAGGTGAGGGCCTCAAGACGGTGGCTCAGTGAGGCAGGACGGGCGGGGGGGCGGGACCATCTTGTCTACAGCCAATCACTGGCGTCTTCCGAGGCGCGTGGGGGGGCGAGGTGGCGTCGTTGCCTGGGAGACAGCTCCGGGCGTCAAGTTCCTGCGGGCTGAGGAGCGCGCGGGGCCGGAAGGTGCGCTGGGGACTCCCGGGCTTCTGCGGCCGCCTGGTGCTCGGAATTTGCATTCCTGCTGCGGTGTCAGCTTCACTGGAGCGGGTCGCGGGGTCGCCTTCTTGCCTCCGGAGGTCTCCCTGGCCTGGGCATCCTTAGTTATTTTTCTTCTTTTAAAAATTTTAAACCCTATGAGCACTTCTGCTGATTACCTTTTCTTCTTTGTTAACGTTTAGAATTTTCTCTGCTATTTATTATTTTTACTTCCCTTCTCTCGTGTTCCTTTATTTCCCTTATTGGTTGTCTCTTTCCTTCACCAGACCGCATATCCGCATCGTCCTGTCTCTAGTTAGCTGCTTTAGTAAGTGTATTATTTTGTTCTTGCTTTAGACGATGTTGTTTCTAGTTTTCATTATTTTTTAAGACTTAAGTTAACTGTCAGGCTGATCTCTGCGAGTAGATGGGGATTTATTTATCAAAGGTGGTGTCCTCTCCTTACTCAAGTTCAGGGCAGCCACCAGGAGTTGACGTTTGTTGAGGGTTTCCCAAACCTGAAGCTCCGCTAAGCGCCTTTCTCCATGGTAGTTAATACTTGTGACAGGCTCTGAGGTAAGTAGGTAAGTACAGCCCTGAACTGGTGACCTGTGAGCTGAATGCAGAGAGGCTGGACGTGTACTGAGTTTGTTTTTTTTTTTTTTTTCCTTTGTGATACTGGGGCAATTCTAACATTGAACTATATGCCCAGCCCTTTTTATTTTTTCTTTTAGGACAGCGTGTCTGGCTAAGTTGCCCAGGTTGGCTTTGAACTTGTGGTTCTTCTGCCTCAGTCTCCTAAGTATCTGGGATTGTGGGTGTGCAGATTTAAACGTTTTGTCCTAAATTTAAAACTCAGGAGATTTCACATAGAAATCAAATTATTTCGAGGTGTGGTGGTACAAGCCTATAATACCAGTTATTTGGGAGGCTGGTAAGTTCCAGGCTAACCTGGGCAATTTACCAAGACCCTATATTTTTTTTTTAAGAGAGAGAGAGAGAGAATTTTAATATTTATTTTTTAGTTTTCGGCGGACACAACATCTTTGTTTGTATGTGATGCTGAGGATTGAACCCCGGCCGCATGCGTGCCAGGCGAGCGTGCTACTGCTTGAGCCACATCCCCAGCCCCACCAAGACCCTATCTTAATACAAAATTTAAAAAGGACTGGGAATGTATCTAACTGGTAGAATGCTTGTCCTAACATACGCTAGGCCCTGGTTTCAATCAAGGAGAATGAGAAGGAGACGGAAGGAAGAAGAAGAAATTGAATTTTTTTTTTCTCTTGAAAAATATTTGAACTTTGGCAATACTGGCCCCCAACTACTCCCTCTAAACAAATATGGTTTTGGATATCCCTGAAGTCCCTTATACTCTCTTCTTATGTCCAGCCATTGGTCATTTGTGGTTGTTGAAGGCATTACATTTTTGATGTCTGCTTTACGCCTTTCTGAACTCTTTCAGAGGCTGCAATTTCCACACAGAAACTGTGGTAACCCGCTCCCCCAGACCTGCTCCGATCCTAAAACCAGCTGTGGTATGCATTTCTCTCCTTTCCAAGAAAGGGTTAAATGGTTAATATCAAGCATATAGTAGGTGCTCAAGGAATTTTCTATGAACAACCAAATGAATGCTCAAACTTCATTTAGTCTGTCTAGGAGATCTTATGGCAGGATTCAAGCCTCTAGACACCCTTTACCCCTGCAGTATTCCTAAACCAGTACCTTTTGCTGGTAAAGAAATTTTGCCCTGGGGCTTGGGGTTGTGGCTCAGCAGTAGAGCAATAGCCTTGCATGAGGCACTGGGTTCCATCCTCAGCACCATATAAAAATAAATAAACAAAATAAAGGCATTGTGTCCATCTACAACCAAAAATACATTAAAAGTGTGTGGGGGGGAGAATTTTATTTGATTTTTTCCCTGAAATTGGGACACATGCACTGATTTTGAACTTTGTGCTGTCTTGGGATTGCATGGGGTGACATGGTCCTCTCCAGCGGTAGTCCTTGTATACTGGAGACTCAGTTCTGCTCCTCATGGACACACTGAATGCAGTTGTGTCATCTTTTCAGGACCCTCTTTGACTTTGTTTCAGTTCATAGCTACCTGGATTGAAAACAGTATTGACTTTGATTACAACTTTGTATGTCCCTCTTCACCCTGGGTTTAGAATGACTGGAAACACTAACTAGAGGCAAATCCCAGGGGTAAATTTTCTTCAAGTTGACAGTAGAATCAAGCCAAATCCAAGGACTCCTAAAATATTTGACTCCAAGAGTGGAGTTGCAAACAGATGCTATAAGGGACCAAGTGTCGACCATGACCACCTGGGAGTCAGGTTGTGGGTAAAAAGAATATAGGTCCAGTATTGCCAAATGTTCTGATTTTTTAAAAAAATCAATTATATGAGAACTCTGCTGATTTTTAAGTGTTAGAAATTAAGTTTTTAAAAAATTAAATCCTGTGAACCCACAGAGTACATCTGTGAACTAGTACAGGGCTGTAATACTGATCTTGCTGTGTGAAGCAGGGGATCTCAGAGATAAGTCAAAGGAGGCAAGCACAGGATCATCTCTGGGAGGAACATTCCCGGTAGGCAGACTCCAGGATTGGGACCCCACCTCTTTCCTGACACTCCCATGCTCTGCCTAGAAGACATGGTTCTTTACCCCAGAAAGTGAAGTACAATCACTCTCCTACCCATTTGGGGCTTTAGTACCCAGGGTCAGAAGGCAAAGGGGACCCAAGGGGTGGCATCTGGAACTCCTGGACAGTTGGGTCAGGCCTCTTTACCACTGTTTCCGAGCTGGAGTAGGTTTGGAAAAACCAAATTTATCCCACATATTGCCGGGTGTAGGCATCAGGATGGGCTACAGGTGGTCCCAGCCTATTTCCTTAGTTCACTCCTAGGGAGAGAACTCTGTGCCAGTCTTGGAGGGACCCAGAGGACCCCCTGATCTGGGGAGGCTTAATTGAATCCAGGGGCCTCAAAGAAGTGCTGTGTACTGAAAAAGAACGTCTTCCCTCCATTCAGCAAAGCGCCACTTCTTCAAGGATGACTGCAACGCTGTCTTTGAAACGTTATCAAAATCTTTCTAAAAACGCATCGCCCTATTTTTTCGTTTCGGTGCCCCTGCTTGGCGGGCATCACAAATACGTGCTTGGTAAAAGAATCGTCTTTAGCAGGAATTGCTGATCTGGGAATTGCCTTCCTGCCAAGAGCAGGTGCAGCCAAGGCCTGGGATCCCAGACACGGAACCCTCGAAGCTGGGAACCCTGTAGGGCTGCCGCTGCGTGGGGAACGGGATCTGGAAGGGACTTCCTGTTGTCCCTAATCCTGGTCTCCGCCCGATTCCCCCGCCCGCCCAACGCTGGCTGCAGAACCTCCCTTCCCTGGGGAGGGGCCCGGCTGCCCCTGGTGCCCCCTCTACCATCCTGCACCTCGGTGAGAAGGGAATGCTGGGGAGGGCGCCTGGATCCCGGGACTGGTACAGGTGGCCAAGATTGCAGGAGGGGACAGGGTCAAAGGTGGAAGGCTTCGGGCTGGCAGGAGAGAAGGGGGCCTGGATCCGGGATTGGGAAGGAGAAGGACATAGTCCGCCGGAACTATGAGCAGGATGGGCATCCCAAGGCCGGAGGTTGCATCGCAGGGGAACTGCTAAGTGGCAGGTTGATTTCTGGTTTCTAGCCGGGCTTTAAAGCAGACGCGGGGCACAGAGTGCATGCCCTGGGGTCAGCGGGGCCTGAATTCTATGAGAAGTGGGACCTCACCAGCACTTGTTTTGTAGGATCTCTGCAGAATTTTCTGCTCTTGATGACAGGAACCACCATTTCAATTTTCCCCCACTTTCCCTGAGCTGTTTGCTCTGAAATGTGGGGCTCAGCAACAAAGCATAGGGTACACAATATCTTTGTACCTTTTTTTTTTTTTTTTTTTTTTTTAAAGCAGGAAACTAAAAACATGATAGAAAAGTAGGACTGCTGAATAGGATCTAGCAGACCAGGTAGGACCAGGAAAGTCTGGTCCAGCATGGAGATTGTTCAGGGCACTTGAAGATGACTGATTTCTTTCTGCTCTTTCAGGCTCATGGCCAAAAGCAGGAGGGGGCTTGGCCAGCAAGCAGGAGAAACAACTTGCTGTTCTTCCTAACTCTCAAATAGAAAATGTCTGCAAATGGTGGAAGCATCCAGGCTGCTGAGAACAAGGAGAGAGCCCAGGAGGTAAGAAGTTCTGGGGGCAGAGGTATGCCATGAAAGAAGCTGGGACAAGATGATTTTTCTAAGCAGGGTATCTGGGCAAAGGAAGAGTTAGACTCACTGGGGGTGCAGGGCTGGTGGATGGGGGAAGTGGGTTGGAGATATTGGAGAGAAGGTGGCATGATGGGAAATACCTTCTATTTGGCATTTATGGTGTAACTGTTTTGCCTTGTTCAGTGAATAAAGGTAGTCAACAGGCACATGGAATAGCAGGGGTGTTCTGTGGGGTCCTCCAATGAGGTTTTTTCCGAATTGTGCCTACTTGTTCTATGCCCCACTTCCTTCTCCCCAAGACATTTCTCTTCACCTCTCTGGGTCTGAGCTCCCAGTCCTGCCTGCACCACCTGCTGCCTGTGTGTGTGTATGTAATTACCATCTGTGGAGGACTGGGGTCTCTGGCCTTGGGGTTGGAGGACTCTGAGTCACTTGCAGGCAAGGCATGTGACTCAGGCCAGTCCTCTGACCTGTGGGAACCAGCTCTGTCCTTTGTAAAATGCAGATTCTGTACCTGTCATTCCCTCCTATCTTGGAGGAGCTAATGGGATGAGATTCATCTAAGCAGTGTCAGCTCATAACTGATCATAATTTTTGATAATGAAATGATAACTCCCACAACTAGAGCTCAAGTCAGAGAAGCCTGTGTCCTCTGGCCTAGTGTCGTAGTGGTTATAAATAAAAATTCACATCCAGTATTAGTGCTTCCGTGTTGTTGTTTTTCTTGGGGGAGGTTACAAGGATTGAACTCAAGGGCACTAGATCACTGAGCCACATCCCAGCCCTATTTTGTATTTTATTTAGAGACAGGGCCTCACTGAGTTGCTTAGCGCCTCACTTTTGCTGAGGTTGGCTTTGAAATCACAGTCCACCTGCCTCAGCCTCCAAAGCTGCAGGGATTACAGGTGTATGCCACTGCGCCACACTAGTGCTACCGTTTTTATGCTGTGGAAGTTCAAAGAATTATTACCATTGTTTCATAACAGCTTTTTATGTGTGCCTTGAACCTGACAAGCCTTGCTGATCGACATTCTCCGTTGATGTTGAATTCGTCAAGTCTACACAAAGTAATAATAATAATAATAATTACCCATACTCTGTGTTTATCCAGAAATTTCTAGAGTGGGTGGCTTTCTCTCACATGTGTATGCCCCTATGACTGTTCTAGGCAGGCAACAGAGCAGCTGAGTCTCAGAGGCCAGTCAGGGCATTGTTAGGTCTGCCCTGGACACTCTTGACAGCTGGTCTTTCCCCTGGAACACACACACCGGGGAGGGTGAGGCAAGGATGGGTGTGACTCCCAATACAAGGCCAGCCTTGCCTTGAGTGACATGAGAACCACCAAGGTTCTCTCAGTGAGAGGATATATATGCCTTGCCCAGAGTTTTTGAGAGGCCTGATTGTGAGCCTTTGTCTAATTCCTAGGCTTTGGGGTGTTAGTTTCCTGTAGCTGTAGAAACAAGTTCCCACTGACTGGGTTGCATAAGACAACCAGGATCTGTTCTCTCCTGGTCTTGGAAGCCAAGCTGTCAGCTGCTCCAGGCCTCCTCCAGAGGCTTTTGGCCTGGGGAGAGGTTCTTCCCACCCTTTTTAGCCTCCTGTGACTCCTGATGCTCCTTGGCTCAAGCATTGCTCCATCTCTGTTTCCTTCTCAGTGTTTCTGTGTCTTCTATTTACCTTTTTTTCTTGAGGTGGGGAAGGAGTTGAACTCAGGAGTGCTATGTCTATGTCACTGAGCTATATCCTAGCCCTTATTCTTTTTTTAAAATACCCTATCCCTTTTAATTTTAAATTTGTTCCAATTGGTTATACATGACAGTAGTTAATTCTTATTTTGAGTCAAGTTCTTGTTAAATTGTTAAATTGCCCAGGCTGACCTTGAATTTGCCATCATCCTTCCTCAGCCTCCTGAGTTGCTGGGATCTCAGGTGTGCACACCACACTCAGTTGTGTCTTCTATTCTTTTCCTTTTTTAATATTTATTTATTTATTTTTAGTTGGACACAATATCTTTATTTTACATTTATGTGGTGCTGAGGATCGAACCCAGTGCCTCATGCATGCTAGGTGAGCACTCTACTACTGAGCCACAATCCCAGTCCCTGTCTTCTATTCTTATAATGACCTCACTCATCCAATTTAGGGCCCACCCTAGGGGCACTTAACCACTGAGCCACATCTCCAGCTTTTTTTATTTTTTATGTAGAGACAGGGTCTCACTAATTGCTTAGGGCTATGCTAAATTGCTTACTGGCTTTGAATTTATAATCCTCCTGCCTCAGCCTCTTGAGCCGCTGGGATTATAGGAATGCACCACTATGCCTGGCTCATCTTGAGATGCTTAGCTTGATTATCTCATTTTCCATTTTCCAGCCTCATTTAATCCCCAGGACTACAACAGCAACAACCACCAAAAAACCCTTTTTCCAAATAAGGTCACATTCTGTGCTTCAGGGTAGATGTGAATTTTGAAGAGACACTATTTAACCCAATCTACTTGATTTTATCATGTATTAAAAAACAGCCAGGGCTAAAGATATAGCTCAGTTGGTAGAGTGCTTGCCTCAAATGCACAAGTCCCTGAGTTTGATCAATCCCCAGCACCAAAAAAAACAAGAAAGAAAGAAAGAAACAACAGCAGCCAGGCGCAGTGGCACATGCCTGTAACCCCAGCAGCTCTGGAAGGTAAGGTGGGAGAATTGCGGGTTCAAAGCCAGTCCCAGCCCAGCAAAAGCGAGGCACTAAGCAACTCAGTGAGACCCTGCTCTAAAGGAAATACAAAATAGTGGGGCTGGGGCTGTGGCTTAGTGGTAGAGCACTTGCCTCTCATGTGTGAGGCCCTGGGTTCGATCCTCAGCACCACATAAAAATAAACAAAATAAAGGTATTGTGTAAAAAATAAATAAACAAACAAACACATAAATAAAATACAAAATATGGATGGGGATGTGGCTCAGTGGTCGCGTGCCCCTGAGTACTATGTGTACTATGGCAATGGCTTGACAAGTCTTTCATCTCTTGCCACTCCTTCCTTGCTGGGAGGTGAACTGGAGGGAGAAAGCGAGGTCAGCCCTTCAAGCTGTCTCTTGCATGTGGGTGTGAGTTCTGCCATCCGGGTTCTGATGTGGGTTGTCATTCCCAGGTTCTAGGTCATGTGCATTCCTGTCAAGAAATGCTCTCTGGGCTGGAGAAGAAGATACCACACATTAAGACAGAGCCGGAAGAGGTGCACTCTGAGGGGACCTCACAGGAGGACAGGGCTCCAAGTGCACGGGACTGGGTGCCTCTAAGTCCTGGCCCTAAGGAGAAAGCTCTCTTCTTGCCTGGGGGAGGTAGGAGAGGGATGTGGACAAAGGCGCCTGGATAAGCAACTGTGGGGAAGGTGGAGGCCCAGCCTGGGTAGGGCTGAGGGTCCTTAACCTGGAAAGGGACCCAGATGTCTACCTGTGCATATGCCTGCCTGTCTTTTTGGTTTGGGGTGGGGTGGAGTTTGAAGTGGCTGGGTGAGCAGCAGCATCCAGCAGTTTGAGTCAGTCACCACTCTCCTCCCATAGCCCTTCCTTCTCGGATCCCCATGCTTTCCCATGAGGGGAGGACCCGAGATCGGCAGATGGCCGCAGCGCTCCTCACTGCCTGGTCCCAGGTGAGTGTCTATGCCAGTCTCTTTGCCTCCTCTTCTAGCTGCCCAAGTGGAGGCAGGGCCTTCCCAGATCCCGACTTGGTGCTCAGCCCTTCCAGATCTGCTGGCTCCACATGTAAAGTCATGGCCTCACTGACCTTCCCACTTGGATCTGGAACCTGCTGCTCAGGACTCTCACTGAAGTGTAGCTGGAATCTGAATACCATTTTCCAGGCTTAGGGTCTTCGGTCACTCTGGCCACAGCTGGAAGAAAAGCAGAGGGAAGTGGAGAGATGGGTCTCTGATGTGTGAATCTTCCTTTAGGGTCTGAGCTGAGGAAGGAGATCCTGAGCTTTGGCTGTGGTCCCTAAGTAGTACTGCTTTGTTATTGAAACAACTCTCCCCCAAAAAGGTCTCTTATATTTGACAATCAGGTCAGGGTAGCTGGAGGCAGCAGTTGGGAGGCTGCAATCTCACCACATGTCTTGGTGTCTCTGTTTGCCCCACTGTGTCTATAGCATGCTTCATGTTGTTTCAGATGCCAGTGACCTTTGAAGATGTGGCTCTGTACCTCTCCCGGGAGGAGTGGGGACGTCTGGACCACACCCAGCAGAACTTCTATAGGGACGTGCTACAGAAGAGAAATGGGCTGGCCTTGGGTGAGGGCTCACCTGTGGTAGGCTCATTACCTCCCTGTTGGCCCCCCACATCAGTTCTGCTCCCTTTCCCCACTTTGTTAATTTAGACAGTAGTGTTCTGTAGAACTTTCCACAGGGATTGAAATATTCTGCATCTGCACTAGAATGGTGTCCCTAAACCCAGTGGCTGTTGAGCATTGGAAATGTGGCTAGAGCAAGTGAGTTTTTAATTTTTTTTTTTTTTTTTAGCTTTGCTCAACTCAGATTGGAGCTTGAGTAGCCATGGCTGGTGGCTGCTATTTTGGACAGTACTGATCTGAGGATTCTGCTTTTCTTCCAATCTTTCATTGCTTTAATTTATCCCAGTATTTCTGTCTTCCTTCTCCAAGCCCCAGCTTTGCAGGTGTTTGCAGAGAGCTTGACTCTAGGTCTGTGGGCTGCTCTGTGGGTGGCATCAGCTAACCTCTCAGGCCCTATAGGCTCTAGGGAGCCCAGGAAGCATGTGCTTCTCAGAGGGGCTCCCTTGGTTTCTCTGATGGCAGGTAGTTAAGTCCCAGGTTTTTACTCCTTATTTGCAGACTAGTTTTTTTTTTGACAGAATTTGATGAGGTCTTCATTGTGATTCATTCATTCAGTAAATAGCCATTGCATACCTGCTAGTCCAGGTGCAATCTGGGCGTTTGGCAATTCCACCCTTGACTTCAGTGTAGCCTTGAGATCTCTGTGGGATCATACCAGTCATCCTCACTCCTATAATTATCTTAGGCTTGCATACTACCCGTTGTTAATATTCCTCAGGGCCAGACCAACAAGTCCAGGCAAATCCTGGGAGATCAGAAAGAACTTAGCATCTATTTGCAGCCCCAGGGCAGGCCTCAGAGAGGCTGTAACCCACTTCATTGATCCAAAAAATCCCTTTTCTCCCACAAGTCATGACAGGCAAGGCCCCTCTGCTGTCTTACTGACTTAACTAGAATTCCCAGGGCCTCTCACCCCAGGGAATTGGCAGATGGGCCCTTTGGTCTCATGACTTCTTGGTTGTCAGTGTACCTGGCCCCTTGTCCCAGGCCCTCCCACTTGGCCTTTCTGCAGCCTCCAACCCTCCCAGCCACATGCAAGTTCAGGAGTGAGATAGCCCTTCCAATGTCTTAGGCTACTGGGCCCACTGATTGGAGACTGTGACAAGGGAAGGGAATTGCTGTCCTCACCTGGCCTCAGAACCTGGGCTCCTCCCTTTCAGATTCTGAGACTTTATTCAGGGAATCAGGAGTCAGTTGGCTCAGCATTGGGAGGAGTATAGTTGGGTGCTACCCTGAAAGGGGATAGGAAGGAAATTTTTTTTTAAGGTGCTGGGGATTAAACTAAGGGTCTCTTACATGTTAGGCAAGTAGCTTACCACTGAGCTGCACCTCAGGCCCCCTCCACACACACACCTTTTTTTTCCTTTGGTACTGGTGATTGAACCCCAGGTGGTCTGCCACCGAGTTATGTTCCCAGATGCCTTTTAAATTCTTTTTTTTTTTTTTTTTTTTTTTTGGTACTGGAGATTGAACTCAGGGGCACTTGACCACTAAGCCACATTCCCAGCCCTATTTTGTATTTAGAGACAGGGTCTCACTGAGTTGCCTAATGCCTGTCGTTGCTGAGGCTGGCTTTGAACTCAGGATCCTCCTGCCTCAGCCTCCTGAGCCGCTGAGATTACAGGCATGTGCCACTGCCTCCGGCCCTTTTTATTTCATATATATATCTTTATTTTATTTTTCTATGATGCTGAGGATCGAACCCAGGGCCTCGAACATGCTAGGCGAGCGCTCTACTGCTGAGCCACAATCTCAGCCCCATTTTTCATTCTTTTGTGTTTTGAGACAATCTTGCTAACTTGCTGGGGCTAGCCTTAAATTTGCAATTCTGCTTCAGCTTCTGGGTCACTGGGATCATGGGTATAAGCCACCATCCCTGCCTGGCCTGAAGCAATTTTTGAGCGCATGTTGTTTTGCCTCATGTTTCTGGAGCCTCACTTGCCCCTCTTTTTTTTTTTTTTAATATTTTTATTTTTTAGTTTTCGGCGGACACAACATCTTTGTTTGTATGTGGTGCTGCGGATCGAACCCGGGCCACACGCACGCCAGGCGAGTGCGCTACCGCTTGAGCCACATCCCCAGCCCTCACTTGCCCCTCTTGCCTCATTAGTTTTTGGAGGGATGATGTCTACAGTTGGCAGCTCCAGAAGTTCTTTGCTGAATGTGTCCTCTTTCTGGATAGGGTTTCCCTTCAGCAGGCCTCTCTGGGCCCCCCAAGTGCAGGGAAAGGGCGAGGCTGCCAGCTCCAGCCGGCAGACAGGAGCTGAGAAGGAAGAGAAGAGAGGCCCTGGTTCAGGTGAGGGACTTGGTGTGTGCCTTGTTCTGGGGAAGGACCGTTTGCCCAGTCATTCCCGGGTACTCCTTGTTGATACGGACTTTCTGTTTTTTGTGGGTGCAGGGCCACTAGATGGCTCCTTCCTAAAGGGTGGTTCTTGGCTCCAGATTTCCCCTACTTCCTTTTCCCCTTTCCTATCTCCCAGAATCCATCCCCTGGATTTCCTGTGGGTTCCCCACCCTCTGGGGCCCTTCCAGAAGCTTGTCTCTCTGGAAACCCTCTCTCTTTCTCCAGGAACCTTGGAGGTGGGGAAGGAGGTGCCAGCTGCACCCATGGGAGCCCTAGGGGATGTGAAGCCCTTGCCAACCAAAACCCGGTGGGCCCCAGGGGGTGTCCTGCAGTGTGGGCAGCAGGGAGCCAGCGGTCAGAACGCTCTGTCCGCCAGAGATGCAGAACAGCTGGCTCCTCTGGAAGCAAGAGAGCCAAATCCAGCCCCTCCTGTGAAGGCACTGGAGGGCCATGACCCAGAAAAACCCAACAAGGACGAGAAGGGTGCCACAGACAGCAGTGAGGAGGGCCTGGCCCCTGATAGTGATCTAGGCAAGAAGACCTACAAGTGCGAGCAGTGTGGCAAGAGCTTCAGCTGGCATTCGCACCTGGTGACACACCGGCGCACGCACACAGGTGAGAAGCCCTACGCCTGTACAGACTGTGGCAAGCGCTTCGGCCGCAGCTCGCATCTCATCCAGCACCAGATCATCCACACCGGTGAGAAGCCCTACACCTGCCCCTCGTGCTGGAAGAGCTTCAGCCACCACTCGACACTGATCCAACACCAGCGCATCCACACTGGTGAGAAGCCCTACGTGTGTGACCGCTGTGCCAAGCGCTTCACGCGCCGCTCGGACCTGGTCACGCATCAGGGCACCCACACCGGTGCCAAGCCGCACAAATGCCCCATCTGCGGCAAGTGCTTCACACAGAGCTCAGCCCTGGTCACCCACCAGCGTACCCACACTGGCGTCAAGCCCTACCCTTGCCCAGAGTGTGGCAAGTGCTTTAGCCAGCGCTCCAACCTCATAGCACACAACCGCACGCATACTGGCGAGAAGCCCTACCACTGCCTCGACTGCGGCAAGAGCTTCAGCCACAGCTCGCACCTCACCGCCCACCAGCGCACTCACCGCGGCGTGCGGCCCTACTCCTGCCCACTCTGCGGCAAGAGCTTCAGCCGGCGCTCCAATCTCCACCGGCATGAGAAGATCCACACTACTGGGCCCAAGGCCCTGGCTATGCTGATGCTGGGAGCGGCAGCTGCTGGGGCTCTGGCTGCACCCCCGCCTGCTCCCACCTAGGGTGGGGGCAGTGCACCCAGGGCAGCTGGGACAGCCCCATTGAATTTGGGCCCTGTGTAGGAGCAACAGCCTTTGCTCCTGGCCTTGGTGGAGGTGGTGGGAGCCAAGGGTTGAGGGAAGGGAGCCTGGGAGGTACAGGCGCAGGGTGGGGCATGGCAACGTGGGAGTAGCTTGGGTGAGAAGGCACAGGCACTTAGGGAAAATTAAAGACCTTGGAATTCAAGCTGTGGACTACTGCTCTGTCTTGTGGGCACTGTTGAACCCCGGGGAGTGGGGGGCTCCTGGGTCAATCGTGTCCTCATTCATCCCTGACTCACCTGCTCTTATTTTGGACACCCTTATCTTCAGCCTTGAGTACGTTTGAGGTCCTTTTGGCCAGAGCCCATTTTAGAACGTTGGAATAAATCTATGAACAGAGGCTTCTGAATGCAGACAGGTTTCCAAGTCTGAAGCCAGCCACTCCTGTAAATGGACCCCTGGTGGGGATGTCTGCTGCTGCCATCATATCCCAAGAAAGTTCACTGCACACTAATCTCTGGACTCTTCTTTGGCTCCTCTCTTTGGGAAGTGGGAGTTGGACATAGCCAGTCTGAAAACTTCTGCTCAGTGTTTCCTGCTGTCCCCATCTCCTTTCAGGCACTGTGGCTGTTTTGTGATTGGCCCTTTTCTTCCGTTTCCATTGGGGCCACTTACCAGGTACCACTTTGCTTCCTGGTCCATTATGCATCTACTGTCACCTCTTCTCTGTTGCTTCTTACCTAGTTGACCTTTGTAAGTTCTTTGTAATTTGTCCTACCTACCTGTCCCTGCCTGACTCTACTTTAGTCCTAGTCTTCTGTTTTAACCTCTGTGGCTTCCATTTCCCACTGTCTTTTTCTTCGAAGGAGTAGATTCTGCCTATTATGCTATACTTGTGGCTCAGCTGCTAAAGTAACATTCAACTCATACCAGCTGACTATGAAAATGTCTGCATCAGGGAGGCCACAGAGACTCTACTTGTTTATAAAGCCACCAAGATACCTGCAGCCCTGGTTGGCTCCAGCTCCTAAGGATTGTAATGGCTTGCACAGGATGACTGGGAATAGTAACAATAGCTGCCAGTTGTTAACTTCTAGGCATGGGGCCAAGCCCCCATATATATCACCTCTACTCTCTGCAGTTGAATGGATTTTATTATCTGAGTTTTATAAATGAGGAAACAGGATAAGAGAAAAGTCCAGTCACTTGCCCAGAATCATACAACCAGAGAGCTGGAAATTGGTGTCATATTTGCATCGGATGTCTCATGTTTTTTTTTTTTTTTAATATTTTTTAGTTGGACACAATACCTTTAATTATTTTTATGTGGTGCTGAGGATTGAACCCAGGGCCTTATATGTGCTAGGCAAGTGCTCTACCGCTGAGCCACAACCCCAGCCCATTTCACGTATTTTTAAAATTCATTCTGCAGTAGGGTCTTGTGCATGCTAGGCAAGCACTCTGCCACTAAGATACATCCGCAGCCATTTTTTAAGACACCTGTGCCAAGCTGGTCTTACTGGATTGCCTAGGCTGGCCTTGAACTTGTGATCCTCCTGTTTCTGTCTCTGGAGTAGTTTGGATTATAGGCATGGACCATGACTCCCAGTTTGGTGTTTTATCCTGTAAGAAATATCCTTATTTCCATGTGTCTCTGTTTACTGTCTAGTAATATTATGAGGCAGGACTGTCTAAAAAAAGTAGAACAGTCAATGGTCTTGACCACCAGGGACATTGGATTCAATTGAACATGGGGGTGGTCTGGGGCATACAATCAGCTGGACACAGATGAGCTGCTGACTGGTGGAGCCAAGCAAGCTTTGGTGGAGTCTTGCTGAAAGCAAGCAGATTGCTTCCTTCAGCTTATCCTCATAGTTCTAGTCAGCCAGAAATGGGATTCCTCTGTTTGACTTAGTGTGAGAGGCTGAGGGGGGCTGTCACTTGTAAAGCAGTTGCTGTCAGGGAGGTTTTTTTGGTAGTGGGGATTGAACTCAGGGGTACTCAACCACTGAGCCACATCCCTAGGCCTAGTTTGTATTTTATTTAGAGACAGGGTCTCACTGAGTGAGTCTGACTTTGAACTCAACGATTCTCCTGTCTCAGCCTCCCAAGCAGCTGGGACTAGGGCATGCATCACTGCACCTGGCTTGTCAGGGAGCTTTTTTAGTGAAGGGGAAACAGGTGAAAAGGAGGCTTGTTAAAATGACACTTGAAGCGTCCGTACTTGTCACAGTAGCTTAGCACAGAGGTCCCATTTGCACAGTGAGTATTGCCTACTTTGATTTCAGTTCCTCAGACTGTGTGGCTGACCCATTGGAGACCAGGTGTCAGGACTTGAGCCAGCCGGAGAGTTGTGGAATGATTCAGGCAGTCATTTATAATCTTCACTCTGGCTTCTGGATAGCTCAGATCACAATATCCAGGAGAAATGTTTCCCCTCTTACGGCAGAGTGCAGAGGGATGTGGTTCCAAGGGCCCCATGGATAGTAACCTGCACATCATCTCTACAGGCTAGGTCCACTTCTGCCCATCCGCCTAGAAGCCACCATTCTGGGACGGGTCTGGCAAAAGTATGTTAACAATGGAAGGTGGCACTTTGGAAAATATTTTATAAGAGCAAATAAGACTGAGGAAGCAGTTGGGGTTGGTTTGTGGAAGGGCCTCTAGTATCAGATACAAGTGTACTCATAATTGGATGGGTGATGGGTGGGAGACTAGGGGAAGAAAGCCAGAGAACCATCTTGGTGTCTGGGTAGAGGGTGAGGCGGCTGAGAGGCCTGGCCTGGCCTATGCTCACATCCTACATTCCAGCTGCTCCACCACTATAGAACTCAACCTGAATGGTTTACCCTTGACCTGCGCCGCCAAGAGAGGTTGGAGAGCGAAGGGAGCAGGGGGTTTCCGTCTGAGCTTCCCATTCTTTCCCTGCGGCCTGTATTCAGGGCCCAGCTGGCTTCCCCGCCTTGCCTGGCCGGCCCGGTCGTCGGCCTCTGCTCATCTCTAGCCGGGGACCGTTCCTCGGAGCTGATGAGGTTCCTCCTGGATCTCCCCACACAGCCGGACCTCTAGAACCGCAAGCCCTGCCCCTGATGCCCTCAACCAATCAAATATCGTGGCGGGGCGAGGGCGTCTCCAGCAGAACTGGCCAATCGCGGCTAACGTTTGTGCCCACTGCGGCGTTTCCCCTGGCAAAGGTTTGAGTTTCTACCTTTGAAGCGCTCAGGTTTCATGCGTCGGATGTCAGAGGAACTAGCGACCCGGGTGCTGGGCTTCCCCGTGACCCCTGAGTCTTTACAGCCCTCCCACCGCCGACTTCCGGAGTCCAGCGCTGCGATGTCTAGGTGCCGGGCTGGGACCGGACCACTTCCGACTTCCCTCGGCCACTTCCGGTCCAAACAACCGCCTGCAAGTATTCTGCTCCGAGGGAGTCCTGGCATCTGCTCCGAACTCGTGAGACCCGTGTCTCCCGCTCGCAGTTTTGCATCTTCCCAGCTCCCAAGCAGTGGCCCAGGGTATTGCCGCGGGAGAGGCAGGCGTGGGTGCGGCCGGGAAGGATATGTAGGCATCTTCAGGGAAGCTGCTGACGCGCGCGGTGCTCTTGATGGACGTGGCTCTTGATGCTGTGATAGGTTAGGGCGGCAAGAAACGTGAACAAGAGGGGCTTTGCTGCCTTATCTCCTCCAGATTTGTTTGGTACCGGAGATTGAACTCAACTCGACCACTGAGCCACATCCCAGCCCTATTTTGTATTTTATTTATAGAGTTGCTTAGCACCTCGCCATTGCAGAGGCTGGCTTTGAACTCACGATCCTCTTGTCTCGGGCTCCGGGGCCACTGGGATTACAGGTGTGCATCACCACGCCCGGTTTATCTCCATTATTTTCAAATATGAAATGAACGGTTGCATTCCAAGTCTTTTGCTAAAAGTTGAGGACGAAAAAGCCAGGCAAGACCTTTGCCTTTGTCAGCGGAGGAAATTGACAAATAGAAATGACACATTAATTACTAGTAGTGGCGAATGCCAGAAAGAAAGGGACTAGGCGAAGCAGTAGAAGATGGTAGGAACTAACCCTTTTAGGGAAGGAGACATTTAAACTGAGTCTTGAAGGCTGAGAAAAGGCTGTTTTGTAAGATTTTGGAGGAAGAACGTTTCAAGCAAATGGAATGGGTGTTCCAGGAGCTGAAATGACATTCCTGTCTCCTGAGACCACTTTGTACTAATTATCAGACAGGTCCAAACAGAAGAGAGAAAACAGTGATTTGAACAGGTGTGCATCACCACACAATTTGAACAGGAAAATTTTTATGTATGGAATTATTAGCTGTGAAAGATTGCATTCAGAAAAGGGTTGACTAGTGAGAAGACCTCTATTTAAGTCATAGGGTCACAGCAGATAGCAGCAACAGCCACAACCTGGGTTGAGTTGGAGCACTCATAGAAGACGGTTTCCCTGTCCCTGTACTGAGACCCAAACAGTGGAGTAGGCATGTCTGAGGCTCACTGAGTTTCAGGGAAATGGCTGTTGTATCCACAGGTGAAACTTGCTAGAAATCCATCTTGAAGGATGATCGCAGAGCAATGTCTCATCAGACACCTTTGTCTCTGCTACAAATCTAACCAGAACTGTGGGAAAAGCGTCTAGCTCCTAGGTGCTGCTTGCTGGAATGTGTACTGGAAGTACATGTTTTCATACTGTGGGAGTTCCGGCTACAGACACCTCCCAGGCCGCAGGAGCTTGGGCTGGGGAGCCCCTGGGTATTGCAGAAGTCTTCCTAGTGAACACCAGAATCTGGAAGAGAAACCCCATCCTCTTACAGTGTTTCTCTAGTGCCCTTTACTGACAAAGCCTAACATCATGTCAGTTGGCAAAGGAAAATGAGGCGGAGTTCACTTTATTTAGCAGGCAACTGAAGGAAAAATTTGGAGCTGGGACATATCAGTAACTGGAACAGGTTTATATTATCATTCATCTATAGCATCCTGATAAGCCTTCTATATAACATCCCTTTACCAGCCACTGGCACTAAGCTCCATTATGTCTTGGGTTATATGGCTGACAGAGCAGATCAACCAATCCAAAACTGGAACATTTTTTTTTAATATTTATTTTTTAGTTATCGGTGGACACAACATATTTGTTTGTATGTGGTGCTGAGGATCGAACCCGGGCCGCACGCATGCCAGGTGGGCGCACTACCGCTTGA